CCAGGACTCTAAAATACCACATGTGTGATGTGTCTTTTGGGGAGGAGAAGCAATCTCTCTGGCCTGCTTTTGCCCCGCAGTGACTTTGGAGCCGAGCCCAAGTTAATGGCAAAAACGCCGTCGCAGAGGAGACGTCCCAAGAAAAGGCAGTCGTCCTGCCTGAAAGATGAAAATAAGGAGCCAAACAGGAGGAGGTGGGTGAGGTGGTTTGTTGTGCCTGTGTGTGCGAGAGTGAAAGAAAACAAGCTGTTTTCCGGGTACGCCAAACCGTAAAACAGCCACTTCATTCCCTATGAGCAAACACCTTGAAAAGGCTGTGTCGCTGTCAGTCAGTGTTCTGGTTCCTGCAACATAGAGTTGACTAGTTTCCTTCACTTTCTTTTTTGTTTTTTCTAATTAGAAACAAGAAAAAACATTTTGGGATTTTTTTTTTGTGTGGTTTGGGATGTGTTTGTTTTGATTTTTGGCCAGAGGTTGCTGCTGGTGTTCACTCCATAAACTGTTGTGTTGTCTGAGAGAACCTAAGGATGGAACTTGCCACCAGCAACGAGCAGGAGCATCATGTCTGTGGGCGACTGACCTGGGAGCAGACGCAGGGGGGTTAGCAGTGCAGCTGAAGTGGAAATCCCAAGTGACCTGCTGAGAACTGACCGTGCTTGAGGTTTTTAAAGCCAGTCGTAAGCAGACAAGAGCTGCCTGCAAAGAAGTGTGAAGGTGGGAGGGCACAGGATGTGATTTAACTGCGTGTGTAGTCAGAGTTGCCTGTGATGCTAATTAACTTCCCTGAAGTCACAGCTTTGTGCAGCAGGCTCTTGTCTTGTGGGAGAAGAAAACATTGCAAGTCTGACCGGGGAGAGCTCTTTAGACTTACTGTTAGTTCTCAGGCAGCAGCTGGATTGCTCCCCTCAGGAAGAGCCGTCTTGCAGACGTTTTTTTCCTAATTTAAAGTTAGTTTTGGGAAAGATCTGCTGATGTGACCAAATGCCCAGGCAGGCGGTCACTTGTCAGCCAGAAGCTCGTGCTGCAGTTCAGCACCTTGTGCCTCACTCTGCAGGGTCTGGCTGTTGTTTTCCTTACTCTGTTTTTTTGGATGTGCCTTTTAAAACCCGTTTTTCAGTGTAGTGGTAATTGAATGCTTCCCACTCGGACTTTTTTGCTAATTCTAGTAAAAGCACTAAAGGCTACAATGAGAAATTAAGAGAAGGAGGCTGGAAGGAGGGCAGAGGGTGTCAGCTTGGATACTGGCAGGAGGACCAGTCAGTGCTGGCTGATGGTCACACGCCATGGCGGTAAAACCTTTCTCTTACGCCCCGGTGGGTTTTCCTGCCCACCTTGTCATGGATGTCCACATTGGCTCTGTTTCATCTTTGTCACGATCTCTGCCCTTGCCCTGGCTGCTGTGACATCGGGAGCTGCCTTTCTCTGCGCAGCCAAAGTTGCCCCTTGGGTTTGGATTTGTCCGCCTGAGCTCCTGGACTTGCTGACCACATGTGTGGCTCTGTCCTCTCCTCACAAGTTACTGCTGCAGCAGAGGACTTGGTCACCGAAGGTCCCTGGAGCTCTGCACAGCTGGTCAGGTTTAACTGAAGCTACTGTACCTGAAAATGTTTCTCTTAAATAAAATGTTCCCAAGTCCTAACCGTGTGGGTGTTGGTTTGTTTCCTGCCTTGGGATCGTGATGTCGGGTACTGCGTGTGTGGCAGCATCGTGGTGCTCCCCGGCCTGTTCCCGCTCTGTGCTTGGAGCCGTGGATGTCCTGTTGGCTCTCCGGTCCCTGGCTCCCTGGGTGCATTTCGTGCAGAGCAGCCTGGCAGAGAGCAGCGGAGCCTTCTCTTTCCAGCTGGGAGCCTGCAGATCTCCACAGGGGAGGCTTCCCTGTGGGGCTGTTCCTGGGAGACCCCGATGTCTGGGATCCAAAACCCCTGCCTGGGTGGATGTCTGTGCTTTGCTCAAGGCAGGCAGCCTGGAGCTGGTCGTATGATGTGACTTTACTGTCCCCTGGTGTCAGCTTTGCTCGGGATGAGGGTTCCTGTGCGTGGAGCAGCGGGAGTCCTGGTCCACCCTGCCCCAGGGTGGTGGCAGGAGAGAACGTGCCCTGCGTTCCTGCCTGTGGTCTGGGACGGCAATGACCCGGGAAAAGCATCTTGCAGGCAGCAGAGAGCAGTAAGCAGCAATTTCTAAATGGTTCCAGCTAAATTTGCCAGAGCATGTCTGTGAGCTTTCCAGGTTCAGCCCCTGCTTTTCCCCCATGATGATAAGCGATGGGTTGTGAGGGGGAGCGGTGGAGGGAAGAAGCCTGCAGCTTTGCTTCAAAACTTGTTTGCTTTTTTTGTTTGCCTCTAAAAACAATTTGGGAGCAGGGAAGACTCCTTCATCACTTCATTTTAAATTGTATTTGTTTAAGGTCATCCAGAAGGAGAAGCAGCACCAAGCCAGTGTTTTCCAAGCTGAGTTCCCAAAGGCACCAGAGCAGAGAGCAGCCCAGGGTCGCCGGCCGCCCGCTGGAGGAGGTGGCTGTGCCCAACTGCGCGAGCAGCTCCTGGGCTGACGCTGGCACCAAGCTCCCGGCACCACCAGAAGCACCAGACTCCGTGGCCAAGTCAGCCTCAGGGCACCACCCGCGGCGATGCCACCGTCACAGGGCAGCAGCTGCCCGAGGGGAACGCGGCCACCGAGCTGTGCAACGCATCTCCTGCTGCCCTAATCCCTGCTGACTGCGCAAGAGATGGGGAGGAGGCCCCTGAGAGAAGAGTGAATACGTCTACTCCCAAAGCTGCTAGGAGTGGAGATCCTGCCGTGCTCGGAGGAGATTGGTCTCCTCAAGGCCTCGAAAAGGTGTTTTTCCAGGACTCTGGAAGCAAAATGACGGCAGCAAGATCCAAACCACGCCGCTCCTCGGGACGCCGAAGCTTTGCGGGCGGCCCCCACAAGACCCGTAGGGCCTCCTTTAAGTATTCACTGACTGTCAAAAGAGAGAGCATGATCCGGAGGTCGATCAGCAGGGCCAAGTCGAAGAAGGCGGCGGGGCGAGAGTCCTCCTCTGCCTCCAGCAGAGTGAGCTGTAAGTGTCTGTCGGTTCTTGTCGAGTGCTTTCATTTGGCCAAATCAGCTTCTCGGCGCGGAGGGTAAAGCAGCTGTGGAGCTGCTCATCGCTGTGTAGGCTGGCTCTGGCTCCTTTCAGTCTCCTCGCTGATCAGCCTTGTGGCTTCCACCCTTTCAGGGTGGATCTGAAGGTCCCTGTCTGCTGTTGGACCAAGTCTCAGGGCACATTTTGCCGCGGGAGGAGAAGGAAGCATCTGTGGGGGCACAGGGCTTGGAGGTTGGTTTACATGGGTTGTGGGTAGGCAAAAAAAAAAAAGAGTGAAAAGGAAAATGCGGTCTGGCTGGTTCTAGCCACGTGTGTGGTTTGGCCGATCAGAAGAGACTATTGCCTTCCCTGGGGAGGGGATTTAATTGTGTGTCTTCTGCCAACTCTCCAAAAAATCTATAGGAGCTGAATGCCTCCACCCCTGGATTTGGCAGAGGAATGTAAATGCTTGTTGGGTGAAGACAGAGTGGATGGCCTGAGAACCAAACAGAGCAGTTGTCAGAGGAGACAAGATTCAGAAATCCAGGCTATTCCTGGTGGCACTAAACTCCACATATCCTCTGTTCCCCCTGCTCCTGGAAGGTTTTGCTGTTTGGACTTTCTAAAAATCGTTGCTTCTGAAGTCAGATTGGCTTCTAATAAAGCACAGAGGCCTTTGGTATTTAGCTCTGTCAGCTTTGAGTCACACCGTATCTAGGCATTTGTTATAACACTTCCAGCTAAGTGGTGTTATGGGGGGGGAATGTAATCAGCCTAAATCCAGCAAATCTCTGCACAAAACCCTGCAGGGAGGCAGGAGCTGAAGTCGCTTGACTGGGAAGTGCCGTCTCCGACACAGGCAGGCGCATGTTTGTGCAGCTGGAGCAGGCTGCAGGCAGAGGAGCTGCTGCTTCAGCTCCCTGCCTTCCCAGCCCACACCAGCTTGTCAGTGACACTCGAGGGAGGTGGTGGTGCTGGTGTGGAAAGCTGAGATGAGCAATCGGCGTCTTCCCTGGGAGGAAAGCCTGCACAGAGACCCGAGCTCTACCACGCGCACGTTGCTGCCCTTGGGAAGCCTCAGAACGAAATCCCCGAGCTAGCTCATGTTTTTCTCCTCCAGGTCAGAACTCCTTGGAGGTTTTTGTGGAAGAGGATGTGACCAGCAGCATGAGGTGAGGCGACCATGCAAAACAGGCATGAAGAAACCACAGAAAGCCCCACAAGGACGCTGTATGGGTTGTGTTACAGAAACAGGACTGGCTTTGCGATGGATTGTTTAGGTGATGTTGTCACCTGGGGCTGGCTGATGTTTCCAAGTTTGTGCTCTTCAGGCACAACCCTTCCCTTTGAGAAGTCGGCTGGGACCATGGTGAGATTGAGCACTGCACTGGGAGGGTCCAGCCAGTGCCGAAGGGCCCAGGAGGCGCAGGAGGGAGGAGGCGGTTGCTCTGCCCACTGTGGGCTGGCCACGTGTGGATTCTGCCCAGGGGTCCTGGCTGCAGCCAGCTCCAAGTGCCCAGTGAGAGATCAGGCTCAGCCCAAGGCTCAGGGAGCTTCCTCTTTACCTGCTGCTGGGAAGCCCTGCAGAAGGGGACGCGGCTCGTCGTGGCGCTATTCAGCGGTGCGATGAAATGGTCTGTCAGAAGACTTCACAGCTCCACCTCTGTGGCTTGGCTGAAGCAGGCTTCTGCCTCTGGGTGCACTTAGATTTATCAGCGCTTTCCTTGGGCTGCTGTGTGCTGGTTCTTATCACCTGTAACTCACTCCTCAGAGAGTTGAAATAATTAATAATCTCTTTTTTTTACAGACCCAGCCCTGAACTGAATCAGCCAAGTGAAAAGGTAAGTTCTAAGGAACAATGTGCAAACTATTCACCTGGACATCTCGCCTGAGCCGGTACCTTTTGGTGAGCATTGCCGCTGGGAGCCGGGAACGTGGCCAAGGGTTGTTCTGTCATGTCCCATCACGCGCAGCAAAGGTGCCGCGACGTCAGGCAGAGCTGCCCTTCCCATCCTCGAGTGGCCGGTTAAACTGGCCAGAGCTCCGGTTCCGAGGCATTTTGTGCCTTGATAAGGTCTCTTCAGGATGAAGCTCGTGGAGGTGCTTGGCCAGGTTCCCAGGAGTCAGCAAGCATTTGCCCATCAGCCGGGCGCGGTAATTGGCTGTGGGCATCCTGAGCCCGCTCTGCTGCGCGGCTGGTTTGAGCTACAGCAGCCGGGAGGGCAGCTCCAGTCAGCGTGCTTCCCCCAGCTGCTGGGGCCCTGTGTGCAACTGGCCGGCGTCAGCTGGCAGGACACAAACCCATCCCAGCCTCTGAGCTGGTGACAGCACCCTGCGTGGCTGTGCTGTGAGCCAGCGGCAGGACCCTGTCACTGAGATGAGCCCGTTGGCCTCAGTGCAGGACTGCTCTGCAGAGAGAAGCAGACCCCAGCCCGGCAGCTGGAACGCAGTTGGAAGGGACTGGCTTTTTCAGGGCAGCAAGTCCACCATAGCCTTTTCTTTCTTTCTTTCTTTCTTTCTTTCTTTTTTTAGCAGCTATGTGCTAAGAGAATATTTGTTTCCTTTCTGTGCAGGCTCCTGAAGACGTCGTCACTTCAAGCAGAAGCGTACAAGCCGTCAGCCCCCCTGCACAGCGCTTTCCCCTTACTGAACAGCAGGCAGGGAACAGTGAAGGTAACTTTGAGCTGGTTTTGCTTTTCTTGCATGAACCCCCAAAGACACACAGAGCAGGGAGTCAGCGTGAGGGTTTGTGGAACATGTAGGACTTGTTGAGGTAAAACCGCCTCTGAGCAGTTGAGGTAATTTTTCAGGTATCTTGCCCCCTGAAGAGGCGAGACATGCAGTTAGATAAGCAAGGACGCCTTGTGAATGTGTCTGAGCCTTGAGACAAACGCTGTCCCGTCCAGCTTCACTGAGTGAGGGCGCTTTTGAAGGAGATTGCTCTTAGACCTGGGATCTTGCACACAGCATAACATTCTGTTAAAACTCCTTGGCATCCCTTCCCTCTGGGTTTCCATGATGTGAGGATTTACGGGTACTGTTTATGTACCATGCCCCTGAACCGGGCAAGGGGCACGTTTGGGCTGTTGTTGTGCCCTGCAGGGCCTGGTGGGCTGGAAGCTGCCCTCTGCTTTCTGGTGTTCCTGCACAACACCAACATGCCAGGTAGCCCCCCGGGCTTCTGGGCTCTCTGGTGAGGAGCTGCAGACCTCTGAGCACACGAGAGCCGGGGACAGGGGCTGGAGCCCACAGGGTGCCTCCCACATGGCACCGACTGCGGGTTTCTTCGCAGGAAGTCGTGTGAACCCGAACAACAAGCCCCAGAACGAGAACCAGGAGCAACCCCACTGTGCCAAGGCCCGGGAGAACCCTTCACGCATCTGGTACGAGACATTTGCACGAAGGAGGAGTGAGCCAGTGGGTTGGAAGGACTTGGGCATGGCCCTTTAATGTGTTTTAAAAAGCTCCAGGTGTTCATTTCTCTGCCTTCCCTCTGCACTTCCAGTGGAGTTTTAACATCTTCTTTGGTCAAATCTTGTCTGCTGAGAGTTTCTTGTGACTTCTCGAGCCTTGTTTGGGTCTGGGATGCAGCTCTGGCTCGGGGAGCAGACACCTGAGTTCATGCACAAACCAGGAAAAGTGACTAAAGTAGCACAGTTACCTCACAGCTCAGGGGTGGCTCTGAGCAGCTCCTGAAGGAGTAGGCTGAGGCTAATTTCAGAGGGCAGCACGAGTGACTGACTTGTTTATTTTTATCTTGTGCAAGTGTCTGGAATACATGGCTTGTTCCCTCACTGCTTCTCTTACTGGTGTTTCACGTGTGATTTCAGCTGCTTTTGGTCTCCTGCCCTGGTTTTACTGAGGTGAATTTGCTGCGGGTGGTGGGTGGGAAGGGCGGTGATGGTAGCCTCTGC